GGACAATTGATGCATCTTTGAATCTTATTAACTAATAATTATCATCAAAATCAAGGAAGACTACAAATGTTCCACTGTCACTCAGGTATTCTTCTTTATTCGATGTATATAGTCAGTTTACTCAAATATTCATGGTTCTTGCAGCATTTTATGGAAGGCCATTCCAAGAGTGCTCCAATATCAAGATTGCCTCTCATCACTATTATAGATGCTAAAGATCATCTAAAGGATATTCCCATTTGCCAGGTAGCCTTGTACGATTTTGATTAGGGCATCAATATTTGCATTGCCATGTTCAACATTTATCTAATGACGTGATTGATTCTATTTTCAGCCATTTCACCTGGAGCTCAATTTCTTCAATAAGGAGAACCGAGTTCTTCATTATCCTGCGAGAGTCTTTTATGTTGATGGCTTGAACCTCATGACCCATAGTCTCTCTTCTGGAGCAGATAGCATTCACAAGAAACTTTACACATCAGTATGTACTGAAAATGATAAATATTCTTTTATTTACAGAATGATAAGACTTTCATCCTTGTATTAAATTTTGCTTTCAGATTCCTGGGAATGTGGACTATCATCCTAAGCATATAGTTTATAGTAAAAGGCATCATCTGTTTCTAGTTGTTTATGAATTCAGCGGCACAACAAATGAAGTGGTTCTTCATAAGGAAAATACTGATTTACAGTTGCCTAATAGTAAATCCAGCACTATTAAAGGTACATCTATACACTAGACTTATTTGTTTGCTGCTTTTACTTGTTGATATCTCCACACATATTTGCCTCAGTCAGCTGATTGCTGACGATATTTTCTTTGAGCTCTATAGGTTGTGATGCAGCATTCATTGGCCCCAGTGAAAATCAGTTTGCTATTCTTGATGATGACAAGACTGGGCTGGCTCTGTATATTCTTCCAGGGGTGGCTTCACAAGAGGCTGAAGTGAAAAAGGGAGCAGCTGAACCAAATCCGTTATCTGATCAATCTAGTGACACCAATGTTGGTTCAGTTCGAGGTCCTCTGCCATTTATGTTTGACACAGAAGTCGATCGCATCTTTTCCACTCCCATAGGTATTTGAAGAGATAAGATTTTTTTCTTCTTGGACGTCATTTGTATAATGTGATGCTGACCGGTATCTTTGTGATTGTAGAGTCCACTTTGATGTTTGCTTCTAATGGAAGCCAGATTAGCTTGGCAAAGTTGGTTAAAGGATATCACCTTTCACGTTCAGATGGGCATTATATATCAACTAAAGCTGAAGGGAGAAAGTCAATCAAGTTAAAAACAAATGAAATTGTGCTGCAGGTGAGTGGTTCAGCTTTTCAGTGTTGAACTCTGATGCTACTATTCTTTGGAAGCCTCTCATATTTTGATTTGGTTAGCTCTTTTAGCAGCTCCACCATGATCTTCTCCATCACAAATGTTTCTTTTTTTTTTATGTTCATTTAATGAAATCTTAATGAAATTTCACGACATGCAACGCATGTAAATAAGACTTGTATTAAGGCTTAGACTGGATTTTTGTCCTGTTTAGAATGTAGTGTGATTCTTGCCAAATGATTTGCCCCATTTTATAGAGTTTCAACACTTGCTATCTTTATGTGGACAATGCAGAGGGAACATATAGTGATGATTGATTCCAGAAACTATTTTTTCAATAAAATGCCTTCTAAACACCTGGAAATAAGTATGGGGAAAGAAAAAAAAAGAAGGTGGATCTAAGCTCTCTGAATATAAAGTATGTGACAGGCTGACAGCTGTGTATAAAGACATACAAAAATAACTGTATAATCTGCATGTCTGTGGGTGATTGAGGGTCTGTCTGTGTATGACTGTATGTACATGTTCATGTATCCATGTGCATTGCCTGTTTTATATCTGGTTAATGTAAAACTAGCCTTTTATTGTACTAGGTTTGGGTTTTTCAGGTGTAAACTCTGGTAATCCTTGATTCTTCAGGTGCACTGGCAAGAAACTCAGAGAGGCTATGTTGCAGGAGTATTAACTACTCAGAGGGTACTTATAGTTTCAGCAGATCTTGACATACTAGCAAGCAGTTACACAAAGTTTGATAAAGGACATCCTTCAATATCCTTACACAGCAATATTAGCATTAATGTTTTACATGCATGAATATGCTTTATATTTGTTTTAGGCTTTAGCATAGTTATGTTTTATGTTTGCTGTTGCTATTTGCAGAATTCCAGTGCCCAGGACTTTGGGCAGAGAACCATTCTTTTTCCTCATATTAAGGTGTTCATGAGTAAATGAAGTTTAGATTTCACCTGTCCTATTTTCATAAGAGGCTTCTTTCTTAGAACATTGCCTATTTCCTTTGTGGTTTGGTTGATGATAGAAATATAACTTGACATCTTCCATATTTCTCACATTTTTTACCAGCTATTTTTGATGTGGGATATCATTCTATTTTGTCTGGATGTCCTTAAAATGAACAAGGGATAAAGCCTAGCTAATATAATTTACCCCCTTTTTTTTTTTTTGTTTTTGCCAAACTGTTCAATTTACTGTTGAATAGAGATTTTTCAGTTAAGTTTGTGTAGAAAATGGCAGCATCATTTGGGTGCATACCTTGATGTACGTTTATCTGTATGTATGGTTGAGAATAATAAATTTGTGTGAATGCTTAACTCATTTGCACTTTAGATCCCTTTTGTGGGTTGGGCCAGCACTTCTCTTTTCTACTGCCACAGCAATTAGTGTGCTAGGATGGGATGGAAAAGCTAGAACCATACTATCCATTAGTATGCCATACGCAGGTATATACCTTTTCTTATTCTAAATGCGTGAATTGTTTAAATTTTGAGATTCCATTTCTTAAGTGGCTTAGTTTTCATTGTGCCATCGTGTGTCATCAATTGTTATCCTCTGTTGCAATGTTATATTGCTGAGTTGCTCATATAACATCTCTGTATGCAGCTCTGGTTGGTGCCTTGAATGATAGATTATTGCTCGCCAATCCTACAGATATAAGTCCCAGACAAAAGAAGGGGGTTAAGATTAAGAGCTGTCTGGTTGGGCTTCTTGAACCTCTTCTTATTGGATTTGCCACAATGCAACAACATTTTGAGCAGAAGCTTGATCTGTCTGAAATATTGTACCAAATAACGTCAAGGTTTTCTTCTCTCAAGCCATGTTTTGTGTCAGATGTGACTACGTAGAATTCTTGGATCTATTTGATGTGTAAAAGCTGAAGAAACTGTAGACTATATTACCTTAACATCATAGCTTTTGCTATGCTATATTAAAGTGGATGGTACATGATTGTGATATCTGACTTGTCTAACTCTTTGTCTGATTAAGGTTTGATAGCTTGCGTATCACTCCAAGATCTCTTGATATTCTGGCTAGAGGTCCTCCTGTCTGTGGAGATCTTGCTGTATCATTGTCCCAAGCAGGCCCGCAGTTCACTCAGGTAATGGGATGAATATTTATGACTTATATTTACCCTTTTAGTTTGATTTATTAACTTTCTGTCAAACAAACTTAGGTGCTGCGTGGAGTCTATGCAATCAAAGCACTTCGATTTTCTACTGCTTTATCAGTTTTGAAGGATGAATTCTTGCGTTCCAGAGATTATCCAAAGTGTCCTCCAACATCTCATTTGTTCCACCGGTTCCGGCAACTTGGATATGCCTGTATCAAGTAAGGAATTGCTTCTCTACCCTTGCACTAGTGTTTGTGTGTGTGGTCTCTTGGTCTTCTAATGCAGAGGTTTCAGGATTAAAACTTTGTTCTATGTCAGTGGACTCATCTTGATTGACATAGAAGATTTCTAGTTTGTTTGGAAAACATAGGTTGAGTGTTATCAACCCGAATGCAAATTTCACTCTCTTTTGTGAGCTAGATATATATGTTCTTGTTTATTGATTTGAGCCGCAATTGGAGTTTCTGAAACATTTGGTCCTTGGTAGTTTATCCAAATTCTATTGTATCACTTCCATAAATTTGATAGAATAACCAATTTTAGTTTTTAGGCTCATTTTCTTTTCCAGATCCTTATGCCTTTGTTTTCAAGGGTGATTTAACTTTTGGAATGCATTTGGTTATCAATACACTGATTTTTATGCTGTCACACTTTGCTTTATGAAAAATTTAATTGAAATTACAGGTATGGCCAGTTTGACAATGCGAAAGAAACTTTCGAAGTTATTTTGGACTATGAAAGCATGCTTGATCTGTTTATATGCCACCTCAACCCCAGTGCAATGCGTCGTCTTGCTCAGAGGTTGGAAGAAGAAGGTGGTGATTCAGAACTGAGGCGATATTGTGAAAGGATTTTAAGAGTTCGTTCCAGTGGATGGACACAAGGCATCTTTGCAAACTTTGCAGCTGAAAGTATGGTTCCTAAAGGTACTGAATGGGGTGGTGGGAACTGGGAGATTAAGACGCCTACAAACTTAAAGAGCATACCTCAATGGGCACTTGCTGCAGAAGTGGTGCCATATATGAAGACTGATGATGGTGCTATTCCATCTATTATTATGGATCATATTGGCGTTTACCTTGGCTCAATTAAAGGAAGAGGTAATATTGTTGAAGTAAGGGAAGATAGCTTGGTCAAACCCTTTATATCTGCCAGTGGTGACAATAAGCCAAATGGAATGCCTCCTTCTCTGATCAAATCTGTGGACAAGTCCCAGGGTGTAACAAAAAATGGTGTTTCCAAGAGTGTTCCCTTGACGGGTCTGGAAACTCCAACTAAAACTGCTGCAGATGAACAGGCAAAAGCTGCAGAAGAGTTTAAGAAAACTATGTATGGCCCTGCTGATGATGGTAGCAGCAGTGATGAGGAGGGAGTTCCAAAGACTAAAAAGTTACAGATTAGAATACGAGACAAGCCAATTACTTCACGTATGGTGGACGTCAATAAGATTAAAGAAGCAACAAAACAGTTGAAACTTGATGGATTGGCCCCACCCATGAGGACTAGGTCATTGGCTGATTCTCAGGACCTTGGTCAGATTCTACAACAACCTTCTGCAACTACTGCTGATACTATGACTACTACTGTTTCTGCCTCTGCTGATCCATTTGGTACTGACTCGTGGGCACAACCTGCATTAGCATCACATCCAGCTCCAGTGGTTCAAGGTGGGGGAGTTGCTGCTGGACCTATCCCAGAGGACTTCTTTGAGAATACAATACCATCCCTCCAGGTTGCAGCCTCATCACTTCCTGCTGGGACATACCTTGCGAAGTTGGATCAAACCTCTCAAGGCATTGAAGGCAGTGAAAAGGTTATGTCTAACCAAGTAAATGCACCCACGGCTGTTGTTGGCCTTCCTGATGATGGTGGGGTTCAGCCTCTAGCCAGTGGACAGCAAATTCCTTTTGATTCTATTGGGCTGCCAGATGGTGGTGTTCCACCACAACCCTCTGGTCAGGCTGCTGTGATGCCCCAGCCTCATGTTCAACCTACTCAGATGTTCCAGCCTCAGGTTCAACCTGCTCAAATGCCTCTATCAACACAGCCTCTTGATCTTAGTGCACTGGGAGTTCCGATTCCTTCAGATTCAGGAAAACCTATTCCTAATCCTGCTTCTCCACCGGTCGCTGTGCGCCCAGGACAGGTAAGGGTCTCCTGGTGCATGGTTCTGGATTTTATTTTTTATTTTTTTCTCTTTGCCTGATTTTTGCTCTTGGGGTTGATTTCTGTATATAAATTGATCACCTGATTTGCTTGTGGGCTTGATCATTGATATTTAGAAAAGGGAAAAAGGAAAAAGGAAAAGGAGCCTTTCTTATGCGTACTTATTGTTCTCTATTTTTGAGTTAACAAAGGGTTGGATTATATGCAAATGAGTCTAACTGTTTCTCTGTTTTATAATGATATGATAAAGAATTGAAGATCTTAAACATTTCCACTAATTTTTTGTTGTTTGATGCCTGATTAGGATAGGTTTTCTTGTCACTTCTAGGAGTTTGGTTTCTCATGTAATCATGTTAGACTTTATCCTTCAAATGGAAAGGCATAACTTTTTTCACATTTTAGCATGAGTGGAAACATTATTTGCAAGTGAAAGGGAGAAGGGAAGAAGGTGGTAAGTTGCAGGGTTCCGATTTCTCTCTGAGATGACTGGAATAAAATATATTTACAGCAGATATTAGTTCAGTATCTTTCTTCTTTTTGGTCAATTGCAATGAAATACTCTATTAAAAAACACTATGCACCACAGCCAGAAAAAAAAAAAAAAAACAACATTGTGCACCACACCAGAACAAATTAAGGAGATTAGCTATGTCAAATGATGGCGATTGGTTTTGTCTTCATTTCAGTTTTATCCCTTAGTCAATGCATGGTTGAGGTAACGCTGCTATAGCCTGAATTATTACAAGAAAAATCCTTTCCAATGTAAACAACGCTGTACTAGTTATCGTTCTTCTTAGTGTAGTCTCAGCTCTCTGCATTTGTTATGTTCTTCGGTTGCACTAATTATTCCAACTTCTCTAATTTGTTCAATTCAATCAAATCTCTTTCTTAATAGGTTCCACGTGGGGCCCCTGCTTCTGTATGTTTCAAGACTGGACTTGCTCACCTTGAGCAGAATCAACTTCCAGATGCGTTATCCTGTTTTGATGAAGCTTTTCTTGCACTAGCTAAGGATCAATCTCGAGGAGCTGATATTAAAGCTCAAGCAACTATTTGTGCCCAGTACAAGATAGCAGTGACTCTTCTTCAGGTACTTTGTTATCATCTATACTTTTATCAAACATCTTCAGAGCCCAAGTATGGTTTGTATTAGTTTTGCTGGTGCTTAAGACTGTCTCCATTCATTCTGACAACGTCAAACCTATTAATTAGCATCCCTCAGTGTTACTGAGTGCAGTCATTTGTCTTATAGCAGGAGGGAAGGTACAGCGGCAAGCAACCATATAGTATTTAGACTATTTTATGTTTGTTCTATGATATTTCCAACGATCTGGCTGCTACTTTGATGCAGGGAATATAGGGGTAGAACAAATAGAAACTAAGAACTCCGTAAAATTAAAGATGGAACCAAGAAAACTTAAGTTTTCAACCTCAAGTTTATTCTCAAACTAAAGTCTGATAACAAAAACTGATTTAAAGATCTAAAGATAACTATATATACTAACAGTAGCCAAGAATCCTAATTCAATACTAATTTGAACTTCTAATAACCTACTAATTCTCATCCTAATTAAAAGTCACATGCTATCTACATGACTTTCCTAAAATTAAAACTTAGACTCCAAATAAAACTGAAACTTAATGCAAAACAAACAGCCCTAAAACTAATCATTAAATAGAACTGTATGCTCCCGCATCATAATTCTCCTTCATGTTCTTCTGAATCAGGCCAAATGTTCCATAGTCAGCCTAATACACGAGAGGCTATAGCTGTCAATATGACCAGTAACAGAATTATGTTAATCTCAACTAGACAGGATATGATATCACCTATTTCTGATTCACTAGATGAACCTTTTGCCAGTATTCTTCTACATCTTTAGTTGATCTACTTGCATTGTGTCATGTTGGGGCTGTTAACAACTAATATGTTATTTTGCACAGATAATCAACACATTTAGGACCTAAGTATTTAGGTGGAAACATTTACCCTTTTTATTTGAGGATTAAGACAAGCGTTTTAGCTAACTTACAATTCAGTATGATCTCATCCTTTGTTCTTCTGTTTCAGAAATAAATATTACAACATTTACTAGATTCATCCAAAAAATTTACAACATTTACTTTTATTCATTCTGCTGCAGGAAATTGCACGGCTGCAGAAAGTCCACGGTTCAAGTGCAATCAGTGCAAAAGACGAGATGGCAAGACTATCAAGACATCTGGGTTCTTTGCCTCTTCAGACAAAGCACCGAATAAATTGCATTCGCAGTGCCATAAAAAGAAACATGGAGGTTCAAAATTATGGTTATACCAAACAGATGCTTGAACTCCTCTTGTCCAAGGCACCTCCAAGTAAGCAAGAAGAGCTGAGGAGCCTGATTGACATTTGTGTTCAAAGGGGTTTAACCAATAAATCTATTGATCCTCAAGAAGACCCCTCACAGTTCTGTGCTGCTACACTAAGTCGTCTGTCAACTATTGGATATGACGTCTGTGATCTCTGTGGGTCCAAATTTTCAGCTCTCTCGGCACCCGGATGTATTATCTGTGGTATGGGAAGCATTAAAAGATCAGATGCTCTTGCTGGACCTGTTCCTTCCCCATTTGGCTGATAATTTTCTAGGTTATCAATTTCTCTAGAAAGTCGTCCCTAATCGTTTTAGTACCTCCCCAAACCCAACAAGATGACTTCTCACTACCTCCATAGGAAAGGGGAATGCTGATTTTTCTTGTTCCAGCCCCATCCAAGCGTCATCTGACCACTCATTATAGAGACGAAACTAGCAGCAACCAGCAACTCCATTAGGTACATAACTTATCTTTGATTTGTTTGTAAATGATTATTTCTTTTGTTTTTTCCGTGGTTTAGCATGTCATGTTGTATTATTTAATATCCATATTTTTCATTCATGAGTTGTAACGATATATCGATCTTATCTTTTGTATATCCCCGGGTGAGATATATCATGCCATTATGGACCCCTATAGATAGAAAGGTTTTAACTGGTTTTTTGCTGAAAAATTTCTTTCTCAATTTTAGGGTTGAGTATTGTACTCAGTTCTTGACGGCGGCGCAATTTCCTCGCTTTACCTTCATCTTGCACACCGTAACGAATGGTTCGAGACTGTTGATCAAAAAACAAATAGTTAGAGACAACCCTGCATGTACAGACCCTGACATTAACAGCTAACGGATGGCATTCTGAAAAGTCAGGTGATAATTGAATTATCACGGTCAAAAGCGGTCAAAAGGCAGTCTGTAATATGTTCTGCTAAACCTCTGACTCGCCTTTTATCAGGCTTGCTTCGTCATCTGTCAGGGAATGGGTTATGAAGTTTGAATGTTCCAAGATTTTTCTCCTTGGGCTAGTGGCTTCCTGTCCTTTACTTCTTATCATATATATTTACAATGGGTTGCAGTTATCGTCACGGGATGATATTATTTAGGTTATTAAAATAATATTAAAAAATATTAATTTAATTTAATTTTTAAAAATAATTAATAATTACTAGAAGAATTAATATTTTATTATTTAATAATTTATAAATTAAATTTTTTAGATATCATAATTATTTATTTAAAAAATACAAAATATTAAAAAAAAAAAAAGAGAGAGAGAACGTATCACATAATAATAATAATAATTTAAAAATAGACGCACATAATTTTCTTTCCATTTTGGTTCTACCTTTATTGGTCTATCATTTTCCCTCCTAAAATTGGTGGCACGCTTGAGGCTAGCAGTTGGTAATGCACACCACATACAACATTCCATTTGTTGATAAGAAATCAACTTTATGTCCTTCTACAAAATCAATTTAATGAACCAATCATGAAAACCCCAGAACCCATTTGTAAGAAAACCGAACTATCTCCCAGTTCTTTACACATCGCTACATCACATATTTACTTCTGCTACTTCTGGTATATTAGTATAGAAACCAACCCACCACACCCCGAGTCCAAACTCTCCAGAACCAAGGATCAGAGTAAGAAATAAACTCTCATCTTTGTAATAGCAACCTGAAACTGAAATCATATGGCATTACTTGCACTAACTGTGAAAGAGGTTCCTGTCCCTTCCTCTCCAAGCATTTAACTGCCTCATTCCTGAGTTCAATTGGAAGCTGCAGGCAAACCCAGTCTAGCAGCGATTCCAAGTCCTTTGCAAAGTCGAGTAGATACCAATTCAACAACTTTGGAATTATCAACTTGTTTGTTCTTGAAATTCCAACTGTTGCCTGTAAATAATCTCTCTTTGCTTGTTCCAGTTCACTTTCAATATGAGATGCAGTATATACCCTCACCTTCAATAAATAAAATTCTCAGTTTCAATACTTGAAAACATCTGAAATAACCATTGTTAATGTAGAATAATTACAAGACAGCATGTGCAAAAGTTCACTAGTGGACTTACAGCAGGGGAGGACCAGCTTCCGCACGCTAATGCAAATGTAACCAAGGGTTCAGACCACTCCAATCCAAATATGCTGCGTGCTTTCATCTCATCATTTTTTGCAGCTTTAGGACAAGTCTTTAGCAGAGAGAGGAAAGGAGGTATCTGGTTAGTAATTTGAAGTTTGCTTCACAAACCTAAAAAGGCTTGTGATTGCATTGGATAAAAGATCATATGATGAATCTACTTACAAATTTCAAATGATAGGGTAGCCTTAGTATGAAATGCTCAATTGTAATTGCATTTATCAAGTGTCCTCCCACTACTACCGTTGCCTGAGGCAGACATAAGCAAACACAAAGTTCAGTCAAATGCAAAATTATCGTGTAACAGTTGCTAATATTAATTGTAATGTAGGATCCTATTCCTAATATAATGAGAGATTACTTGCATCCTTTTTCTTATCAAATTACTGATTAGAAGCTTCAATAACTTCCCTTAAAAGGACTAGAGGTAAAGAATGAAGTCCCAATTATAACCATATCTTTGGCGAATTTTACTTTCCACCTAAGCTTGCTCTTGGCATTGGAAGACAAAACCATTTCTAATTGCCACAGAGGAACATATCAATTCAAGCTTCCTCAAGATGGATACCAATTGATCAAATAATTAGTCTGTCTTCATTAAAAGTATCTAACATGAGGAAGAATGAAAAGGGGGAAAGGGAACTTAGAACTCCTATTAGTTATACCATGAATAAAAAGAATGACTGATAGATCAAACCTTTTGCATCAGAGCAACAACAGCTTCCGGAGTCTCAGGAATCCCATGCTCCAGAATTGCCTAAAATATTGATGGTATATGTATGTCACTCTTCTTTCTGTTCACTTTAGACTGAAGTTTCTCAATCTAATTGAATGGAAATAATAGTCAAAATAAAAAATCTTACATTCATCATACAGGAATTGTAAGTGTTTATCCAGAAAGCAAGCTTCTGCTGATGGGTAAGACCCTCCAAATTGACTGAGGCAAGCTTCTCAAGTAGAAACCTGAATTGATCAAACATAGTGTATAAATTCACAATTAACTAATATGTAAGAAAATTCACAATTAACTAAACAAGTGAGGGCAAGCAATGAAAGTTCTTACTTTAGTTTATGGATCAGAAATAAAGCATTTGTCGTTCGATTTAGATCAACTGTGCTAGCTTCAATTGCACAAAGATGCTTATAAGGGCCAATATCTCTAGGCTGCACTTCTGAGCAGATACCATAAGGGTCTAGGAATTCACTTTCTACATTGTTTTCATGAGAACTAAATGCTAATCGAGGAGCAAAAGATTCAAATGCTTTATCTTTCAATGTGCTCATCCTCAAGAAAATGCTAGACAAGCACCTTACAGTATCCTCTGCTACATTGTTTGGTACACTGTCAACTTCAAGGACTCTATCATCTGAAGAAACAGATGGGCTTTCTTGCCCTAGTAATCTAGAGTCTAGCTGGACAAACAGAAAGCCAATTTTATATGACACAGTTGTGTGACACAGTGAAGTAGAACTAATTCTTATAGAAACAAGCTAACACATTACCTGCAATTTCATAGGATCTGAACACTTGTCTGCTGAGTCACGCTTGATTGTAAGTCTCTTTATTGGAGTGACAACTTTTTGAATTTTCATTTCAGGAGATTGCTTATCCTTCACAGCATTAGTGAATGATTGATTCTCTTTTCCTGTCCCTTCTCTCGGAGCAATTAGAGAGGAATTGGGTTTATTGGAAACTTGTCTTCCATTTATTGGCCTAATAACACAATGACCAGCTCGATCATAAACATTCTCTGGGGTCAATTGCTTTCTAGTTGACGCACTTCTGGCAAGAGCTGGTTGAACCCTGCCAGCGGTCATCCACGAATTAATCTCTTTAGGAGACAACGACGATTTTGACCTTTGGTGCTTAGAACTTCTACTGGGGGTTTGCTCCACAGAATCATTCAAATTGTCCCCATTCCTCTTGGAAGATGTATATACAGCTTCATGATATAGACCTTGCCTAAAATTCACTACTTTCTCCTCAAGCCTAACAACCTCCTCCTCCAACACAGCTACTTCAGCAAGTAACTCTAGTGTCTAAAAGAAAGAAAACCACAACCCAGATCACTCTTTAAATCAAGTCTCCTGAAACCCCATGCAAAAATTTTCAATTGTAAAATTGCACAAAACTAATCTAATATTTCTTTCCTCAGCCCATTTATACTTACATACGGAGGTAGATAAGGTGGAAGCCGTGGAAGAGCACCTAAAGGTCTATTAAAAGCTCTCTCTAAGGCTCTATGCACATTCTCTTCACGTCTAAGCTTCCTTTTCAGCTTATCAACCTGCAAATTATCAAAAATCAGAACTATGAAAGAGAAAAACAGAAAAATTGGGTTCATAGTGGAGAAATATGGGTACATCTTGTAATAAGGCTATTTTCTTTTCCCTGTTGGATCGACGCCGATTGTTTCCCGCTTTGCCAGCACCAAGTCCTCTGCTTCCCTGAGTCTCCATCTCCTTATTCTTTGCATGTTCAAAAGCAATTAATATCAATCAATAAATAAGAACAAAAAAGAGGAAACTATTCTTTTCTTGAGACAAGCTAAAGAACCCATTTCAAATTTTGGATTAAAAGTGCTTTTAAAGTACACAAGGAGATCGCTCAATCTGAAAAAAGACCCATTCCACAAAATTTTGTAAGAACAAATCTAAGATTTTCTCAAGTAAAGTAAACCCATCTGCAAACCCTTGCATTGCATTAAATACAAGAAAAAGTCAAAAAAAAAAAAAAAAGGAGAGAAAAAGAGAGAAGTTACTTACTTTAGTGCTTCTGTCATGGTTTAAAGGAGCTTTGAATCCTTTGATAGACTGAAAAG